GGCATCTGAAGACACTGAAGGAAGTGGTCGACAACGACACCGACATCCAGTCCAACGTCTACTTCAAAGTGAAACTCGTGTCCGATTGGAGTGAGGAATGTGTGGACAGAAGACACGGACCTCTTCTGAGGTTTACCTTTGATTACCAGTCGTTAGAAAACGTTGATTTGGCGGTAAGTCTTCACTTATCCTTACTTTTCAATAAGTTTTGTTTGTCTTATCATTGAATGATGTCTTCAGGACTGCCAGCGACTGATGGATGGATCGCTTCTGTGTCTGTCGTCCGATAGGTTCGAGAGTTCTCTCATATTTGGTGTCGTCTTCAAGAGTCGACTCAATTACAAGGACTCGAAGTCGAAGCAAACGATTTGGGATTTTTGTCTTAAAGTCGATTTGGATGACAATGAGTGCGAAGACTTCTTCACATTCATATTGAGTCCAAACACTAAATACATTGCAATCGAGTCCTTGACTTACTTCGAGGGAATGGCTCACTCGTTGTCAGGACTTCAGAAAATGAGTCCACACTTTCCGTTCAACAGATATATTGTTGATCTCATGAAGAATCTCAGAGCTCCTCCTTATCTGAACCCCGACTCCTGTTATGACATGTCGTGTATCGCACCCGACATCTCGCAAGTGGATCAACACACGGACCATAAGCCGAACCCATTATCATCTGTACAGCTGTTAAACGCTGAGCACAAGTCTGTGGCGAAGAAGGCGTCCATTTTCGACGGCCAACAGTTTGAGGCCTATTATCACGCGTTGACCAAAGAGTTCGCTGTAATACAGGGCCCGCCCGGCACTGGAAAGACATTCGTAGGCCTGAAGATTGTCAAGTGTTTGTTAGACAACGAAAAGGTGTGGAATCCGAGTGCCGATCGGCGACCCATTCTTATTGTCTGCTTTAAAAACCACGCTTTGGACCAATTCCTCGAAGGGATCCTCAAGTTTAGCCAAAATGTGGTCCGAATTGGTGGCAAATCCGATAGCGAAGCGCTTCATAATTATAAATTGAGAGAAATCAAGGAGAGATACCGTTCCCTACGACAGAATCCAGAACTAGAATCACTGGACAATGCATTTCCTATTAAAGGCTACGACCCTATTGTGTTCAATGCGCGCTCCAAACTAAACCGATATTACCGTAGAATAAATGGTATTAAAGGGGAAATGGAGGAGTTATTGGACAAAATAAGACTGAGTTTCCTATATATTCTTGATTACGAAACAATCGCACCCGATATTAAACCAATGAATAGGAAGTTCGTTGAGTACTTTAATTCCCGATACAATAGTGATAATAATCCAGTCCTCGAGTGGTTGTCTGAAGGGAATAATGTGTTTGATTTGATAAACTTAAGGAAAAAACGATTGTCTTTCACCTGCTTTACAGACATTGTGTCTGATATTCTTCGTAAAGATAAGAATGGTGTAGAAGTGGATATCAATGCATTGGAAACCGCAAAGAAGTGGTATTTATATCTCTTTTGGAGGGAAAACTACTTCAAACGAATGAGGAATAGGATCGCAGTATTGGATCAGACTTTCAAAGACGAAGTGAAAGGATTTAACAGAAAGAATGCAAAGTTTGAGCGATTGTTATGTAATGAGGCGCAAGTGATAGGCCTTACGATTACCGGCGCCGCAAAGTATAGAGATTTAGTCGACGAGTTTAATCCGCAGATTATGATCATCGAAGAGGCGGCAGAAGTCCTCGAGGGACACGTCGTCGCATCGTTTCCCTCGCGATTAGAGCACGTGATTCTAGTCGGAGATCATAAGCAGTTGCGTCCCATCACTAATGTCCGCCAACTGACCACTGATTATAATTTAGACAAATCGCTGTTCGAGCGAATGGTGACCAATGGTATGCCATTCAAACAGCTGGAACTCCAGCACCGGATGGCTCCCTGTATCTCAGAACTTCTGAAAGTGGCCCACATTTACGACAACTTACGTAACGCTCAAAAAGTGACTGTTTATCCAAACATTAAGTATGTGTTCAATAAGAATATGTATTTCATTGATCACAACCACATCGAAGACAGCAATAATAGCCGAGAAGTGGTCGACAAAAGCCGATCCAATCTACACGAAGCGAAACTTGTGGTCGAATTAGTGAAGTACTTCCTTCAGCACCAGTACTCCGGCGACAAGATAACAGTGTTGACCACTTATAACGCTCAGCTCACTATCATTAAGAGACTGATGTTTGATCAGAAGGACGTGTTTGTGAAGGAGTCCGCAGACGACGACCCCATTCGACTGAAAAGAGCGGACGGCAAGGAGTCGCCGCCGGAGTTGAAAGTGAGGGTCAGTTCGGTGGATGGCTTTCAAGGCGAGGAGAACGATATAATTATCATATCATTCGTGCGGAGCAGCAAAAAGGGAACCATTGGTTTCCTCGAGAATATCAATCGAGTGAATGTCGCCCTTTCGAGGGCCCGACATGGCCTCTACTGTGTCGGCAATTTCAACACAATGGCCACGCAGTCAGACATGTGGCAGAGGATTGTCGATCACCTGCAGACCAATCAGTCCATGAATCAGAAGTTTGTGATCGGCTGCGACTGTACGGGTGAGGAGCACATCGAGATGCCGGGTCAGTTTGAACTGCTTAACCTACAGATCAGAAACGGTCGCTGCAAATGCCATATGAATTCCAGTTGATTCAGTCATTCATTTGTTTCATTTATTGATTATTAGATTTTTATGTCTACAGTACTGTCCGTGCAATTAATGACTGGTTTTTATAAACTTTGTGATAATTAAGTCAAATACTTATTTGAGTTGAAGTCAAACATTCCTATCATTTGTTCAAAATATCATATCTCATGTTGTAATTTGTTTTATTTTAATAAATATTTTAATACTTTACTGTGTATTGAATTTGTATTTTATTCTTAAGATTTAAGTCTATTTAGAATAAGTTATAAAAGTGTTAATTCTGTCGTAATATTTAGGATGAAATTTGCAGACATTGTGATCGTAATCTTGGGCCCAAAACGGGTCCACTTTATGCGGGAATCGATTGTACAGAAGTATCGCTTCTTTAATGTCCACTAATTGATCACATGTTCCGTGAAATATAAGGACTTTACACTTAATTTTGTCGGCTTTCCATAGATTGGGAAAGGGATCAAATGCCCAGAATCTGGTCGTGTATTTTGACGACAATGTCCGCAAACCGGATAATATGGGAGACTCGAGAATAACGCCTTTAAACTGAAGTCGTGTCGACAAGTCAATGGTCGGAACGGATCCAATGGATTCACCGAAAAGTATTGTAGTTTTGGGCCAAATGTTATACAATCTCATGAGACAACTGAGAGCTGAGTCGATGTCTGAATAGAGATTCTGTTCGGAAGGGCTGCCATCACTTAATCCAAAGCCCGAGTAATCGTAAGTAATGAAATTGCACTTCAATTTGCGACTCATTTGCCATAAGTATCCGGAAGTGTATCCCATATCCGCTGAATTGTTATGACTGTAAAGTAGTGTCACTTCTGTCTTATGAATGGATGACCAGAAGATACACGCGATTCGACCGTCTCTTCGGGTCTCCGCATAAAACACTTCAAACAAATGCATTTCTGACACAAATTGTCGGAAACACTTTGGGCCCAAAAGTAGTCGATTCACTTCAATGGACAGACCTTTCAGTACGAGTTTATATCGGTTTAACTTCTTATCAAACTGGAAGTCATAGGAGGGATCGGGGACTCTGAAGGCCGTATTTGAGACAATTCGTGGTAATATCTGAAAGGGAGGACAATAGGAATGTTTGAGCATTTGATAAACACATTGCAATAAATCCATTACAGAAAAGAGTTTTAATATTTAAATTCAAACTATCATTTAATGTCATTCAATAACAATCAATTTGAATTCATGTTAATTATAGTGTTGTTGTAGTGTTTATGTTAAGTGAGAGAATTGTATTGTATTGTAATGTTATATGCAATTTAATAGACAAATTAATAACAAATTAAACAAATTAATAACATTTTTAATAGACATATATTAAACAAATATATAATAAATACAAATCAAACATAAAATATATAAATTCATATAAAATGCAGAATAAATAAAATAAATAAATAATAAAAGCATTTGAAAACAATGTTTTGTTATAAAATACAAATACAATAAAACGTTAAACGAGTGGTTCAGAGGTCTATGGGTTTGACTTTTCGGGGCCGACCCTTAGGACCCTTAGGCCTAGCCTTGCATTTGTTGACCGCATTGTCGCCGCAGTTGTCCTGAAGAGCACTGTCTGTCGTTTTGGTGGCCTTTGGTTTCCTCCCGGGTTTCCTCCACTGCTTCACCACAGCCTTCGGATCGATGTTCTCCTTGTTATCACACAACAGATCCACCACTTGTTGCACACACTTCTTGCTGTCGTCCATCGCCTCTGCCATCAGCTCCACACTCATAGCCTCGTCAGTGGCGGTCGCCGTACCGGTGCTCTCAATGCCTTCATTCGTGTCCATCGGCTGTAGAGTGTCATCGCCTGGAGAAGCGGTTCCCGCGGTGTCTGTCGACTCAATAATCATATACTGAAAGCCATCAGTAGTGATGACATATTTGGCGCCGTTATGTTCAGTCACTTCCAGCACTTGCGAGGAGTCGAAGGGCAGGTTCGGCGCCGACTCGTAGTATTGGTATTCGCCGGTCATTAGAGTCGGGTATAAATCCAAGAGCTTTGCGGACATCGGCGGAGGGATTGTCGGCATATAGTCCTACGGCGTATAGGCGTCAGTGGAATGGCGGGAAGGGAGGGGACGGGGAGGACAGGTATGTCGTGTGCGTCACTTACCGTACACTTGACTCCATCGCATTTGGAGAGGTGTAAGAGGAAGGCAACGGTGTGCTCGAGGACTGTGGCCTTATCTGTCTTATCGGTCACTCCGGGCACCAAAGCCCTCAACGCATCGCACGAGCACTTCATGCGTGATCTCCGGAGCCGCTCCTTATGGTTGTGGAGGTGTCGCGACGACTGCGACGGACAGTACGACCGCTCACTCCTCTCCCCATTCACGACAGCCATCACCGAGTAGTCCGTCCCGTCGCCTGACTCCAGAC